TCCAAGTAATAATTAATAAAGAAGAAGAAGGCTGCCTTAAATACCAACAAAAATGTGAACACATCTGAATGATGTACACAAAATTTGAAGGAATTGCATTGTTTAAGTTTATAGACGAATAGAATGTGACGATAAAGAAGAAGGAAAACTCTGGATAGCGAACGTCTCGGAATGTAGTGAATCATTAGACATGGATTACGACAATAATAACAGCGAGAGTTATCAGAACATTGTAATTGTTGTTGCAAATGAACACAAATGAAAGTTTTCGAAACACAATCAAATTCAACGCAACGCAAATAGCAGGCAACCTTCTTGGTTCTTCCTTGACCAGTTGTTGTCAGTTTGCAAACAGAGCAGGTGGCCACGAATAGATGTTGCGGTGCTACACCTTCATCCTTAACATCATAAACGGCACCACGTAATTTCAGCTTTTGACATCTGAATAGCTGCATTGCTTTAGGATATACTCAACGTTATGTGAACACATTTCACATCTCGGAACGTATAAAATTGAAATACACTCTTATCTGCATAAGAATTAATGAACAACTTTTGGAAAAACTCGCAACAGAAAACTCAAAACAAACGATGCCTTCTCAATGACATACTTCTCGTTGATTTTGCCGATCCAATTCTCGGACAAATTGCTGTCGGTTTCCTCCTCTGGTGCAGACAGCTCGGGCATCAATTTATTCCTAAAATAAAACCGTAGTACTGATACAGATTAATATTAAATATTAAACCGCAGTGAAGAGGAATATCAAACATCACTAATGATAATAACGGATTACCGAGTGACAACACCAGCAGGAATTGACGACTCGAAAAGTGATACTGACAATGTGAACCAATCAATGAACAAAAAGGTATCAGCTATAAAAATAGCAAGAATCATTTTCATTATTATCTGTAACAGTGAGCCAAGTCCGATTCGACGATAAATTTTGCTCGAAATACGCCAAATATGACACGTATAAAAACTTACAGATAACTGATCGCTTCCAATTTGTTTTCACCNCAAAATCATGAAAATTACGCGAATAATCACTAATCACCTTCAGCAAAACCTCCTTGGCAGCCAACTGCTTCGCAGATTTCTTCGTTTTTGCACTTCCTACACCGGACAGCTTTCGCAGCTCACATTTGATCGCAAACCAATCCAGCTGAAATCCACCGCTTCAGATTGCACACTGACGAAATTTTTCAAACTACAATAATAACAACAACAACACAGATAACAACAGCTAATGAACAACAAGTCAAAACTTCTGAAGATTCATTAAATACCGATAAAAACTTCAACAACGATAACACTGACTTATAGTAACATCAATAACGATGTCAATATGACTATGTCAAACAAAATCAAATTCTATTCATAAGCATTAACTAATAAGGGTGATTACTGGAATTGCAAAAACACTGTCGGGATTGCAGATGATCATTATATGTACTCGAATACAAAGTTTAGTCCAACTTTTCTGCGAAAACTACATTCATTCATTGAATTCATGTTATCAGTATCAAATGAAAATTTCAAATTGAATGATACTCAATGAGAATCGCAATCGCAATCCCAATGTCGAAACCACAATGAGAATTGCAACACGCCTTATCACAATCGACACACGAGTACGTTGGTGTCGTTCCATCGTAGTACTTCCTGCATCCTTCCTCTAAAACACCCACGAACGTTTTACCAGCGATCGTCGGCGGTATTTGCATTCGGGATGTGGCCGATTCCTGGCAGCCACTTGCTGATCCGTTTGGCTGCGGAGGCACTGCGGCCGGCAAACTACTCGGATACATATCCGACTCGTTCCCAATATTCACCACCTTAAACGGATGACTATCTTATGGATAAGATGGACAGTCATCACTGCAACAAGAACAACAATTTTAGCAACGAACATATCAGCAATATTAACGACAATTATCACAACGATGAAAATGATGCCAGTAAGAAAAATAATGAATGACGATTCAGAACAATAACGATTGATCCATAACAACACTGATGAAAATATGTTGAAAATCTACTGACACGGCAAAATAACAAATAATACGATACAAAACATCAGATGCTTCTGAAACATACCTCCTGACACTGGAAGTATTCAGGTTCTCTTGATTTCAGCACTTCGACGTCCGTGAAAACTTCGAATAAATCGGAGCTCATTCGTGATAGCAAAACAAGTCCTGAAATTATACCAGATATCGATGAGGATTATTTTTAATTCGAATCAACGATGTCAAGTAATACACGATAACGACACAACGACTTTTCCCTGCTGAAACTTCTCCCTAATTCCTGACATTCGATACAGCATTCATTGATCAGCAATTATCAACACTGATAGAATATTGCCGAATTCGAACGGTACATTAAAAAAGAAAATTCCATACGCGAATTCAACACATTCTATAATTTATCATAAACGTAAACCATCATCCAATAAATGTAATGCTCAGATAGTGCTTATGAATTAGTTCAAATTCTTGTCCAGTCCTGCCTGCCCACTTGAAGTGAGATTGATATTATGTTAACATGGTATGTGATTTGGAACACAGCTGTGACACATATCGAATCTGTTTCCTCGTCAACCATCCTTGTAGTTGAAGAAGAAGAACATCGATAACCCAGTTTACATAACATCTTAATTTAAGCGATCAATTTCTTGCACCTGACAATGAGCTTTCGTTTCGTGGTGTGGCAACTCACTCTGCACACATCACTTCTAATATAAATTCG